GTCCCAGGTCATTTGCAAAAGTCACCTCAGACCCCCCCCCCCCAGAGAAACACCCTCAGTCCACATATATGACTCCATCTCACAATGGATCATATCACGGACAGTCTCGACGGAGAGTGCCCACTCCCCTGGCAGAGGTAGAAGAGAAGAGGGCTGGTTGGCCTCTGTAATAGAAACAAACTCGGGAATTCATACATGTCTGTATTTTTTTTTTGTAAAAGTAATTTATAAATATAAATGAAGTTATAACCATTGTAATGCCAACCATGTTCAAAGTTGCAACATAAATTGTGAATAATCACAACACTCCTGTTTATAGAAACCCGTGCTGAATGCTTTGTTGAGAAAAGGTGATTACATTATCTGAACAAGGTGCTTATATACAGTACCTAAATAGAGGGCACATTGAAGTTGGTGGAGAATTTTGCAAATTAGAATTTGCCAAGGGCTTTCAAGTGGGGTATAAAAGACAGGAGCAAGCATTTTCAATGCTTAAATGGGCAAAGAGTGGAAACCCTTGAGATCAAGAAATAGCTATACTGTCAACAAAGGTAAGTATATTTTTTTAGTTTTTAGTCTCCACAGGAAAAAAGTGCTCAAAACACAGAAGATTTGAAGAATAATTCCAAATGGATGAAGTTTAAAATATATTTGGTTATGTTTAAATATATCACTCTTGCAATCAAACTACAGAAAACCATTTTGAATAAAAAACAATATACTCTCAGCTTAATTACGAGAGGGCCTGTGGTTAGTGGTGGCATTGGCTAGTTATATTCTCTGCAATAGCACAATGTACCTCAATGGAATAAGCTAAAATCCAAAGATTTGGAAGATATATGTGTGTTTACAACAAAATCTAATACACTACATAATTCTTTATTTACAATAATAACAAACGGCAAATGCAAAAGCAAACATATTGCCACTGAATTGTGTTTATACAATTTTTACATAATTTGCCCAATCCCTTAACCCATCAATGATCTAATGGAAGTCTCCATACAGTCATATATCACCAAGAAAAACTACTGAAAAATGTCTTACTACCTTGCCTATCAAGAACCAAAATAGAATTCAAATGAGAATGAGCTTTTTAATGTCTTACAGTATTTCATTTTCACAAAAACTAGTGAAACACTGGAAAATGTTCAAAGTGTAAACTTTGGTACACACAATAAGAAAATGCTAAACAATTATTACACAGTACTAGACAAATCCAAACTGTCTTAAATAAAACAGCCATAGTGAAGTTACTTCTACATACAAGTGAACATTTTAAGATTACAAACTGTAAATTCAAAGCTTAGCACCTGACAACAGCCAAGTAGAATGATATCTACTACCAAAAACAATCATGGTTATTGCAAATTCAATTATATACAACAATGAATCTTACCAGAATGAAAATATTTTTGGTAAATATGCAAAGTCAAATGATTTAAATAAAGCTAAAGATGAGAAGGTGGAAAAACCATAATGAAATAGAATGAAAGGTAAAACAAGTAGGAAAGAGCCTGGATATGACGCAACTCCTCCACAGCACAGTTAATTGCAGTCTATATTACAATGGCTATTCCATACTGTAAATGTAGAAAAGGAAACCCTACTTACAATTGTGTGTAAAAAGAGAAATCTTGGTAATCTGTAACACTAAATACATCTATGAAAGGAGAAGAAATGCACAAATATGCAAGACACAGCCATAAAGAATGGATCCAGAAATAAATAAGAATGTAATTATAAAATATAAGGAAAAATGACTTAATGAAAACTCCAGTAAGACTGTATAAAAACCACAAATGGCAGTTGAAAGCCATAGAGAATTAATACATCTGTTAAGATGCAGATAAAAGTAGACAAAAGTGTTATGTGTCATTCGTATGTCTACAAACAGCCAGGACCTGACAAAATAATACATGAAACTCCCACCACAATTTACTACCAAAGTTGGCATAAATCTTAAGAAATATGTTACACTACCAGTAAGATAAAAACCATCTCTACTAATAAGATTACCAAGGGACAAAGTAACCTTCAATATCCCTAGAAAGATTTTTGTGTGAACTATGGAACAGCAAAGTAAGTGTAAAATGGAAAACATATAAATATGAGAGAAAACATCCTATAACTCTATAAACTGGAACAACAAGGACTAGATGCTAAGGCAAAAAAAAAGACTAGATGAAATATTTAATAAAGAACAAGTAACCAAAAACTTAAATAGATGTAAAGTGACAACATTTAGAACCAAACTAAGATTCCAATTATGAAGAACAGCAAGAACTGGAGAATTGCAAACAAGAAAAAAAAATGCCACAAAGGGCTAATGATACAAAGAAAGATGAAGCAAAAATAAAAAGATGGCTCAAAACTTCTCTTATATAACCAACAACTGATAATATCCACAAAACATGAACCACAAAAAAGGAAGGAAGAACAAATAAAGAACAGATGGTGAGAATAAGAAGTGGGAAGCTCAACACAAACAATAATAGACTAATCAGTTTGATAAATCTTTAAAGCAGAAGAAGAGAAAGAGCAAATCAACAATGTAGCTACGTGAAAAGTAAAACAGCAAAAAGTTGAGCAATATCCTGGTAAAATTGTAAGTTCATGGTTGTTAAAAATCTGAGCTAAGGTGGAAGTGGAACAGGCTCATACTGGTTAATCCAATCAAAATTAAGTAAAATCTTATTACAAACTTTCTTCATACAATAAATAGTGATACTAATAATAATACATAAAAGGTCTTTAATATTCTATTATTATTATTAAGATTTTAAATTTCAACAAGACATAACTCACATTTTAAATATAAAGCCACTTAACCTCCTCTATTTAGTACTGTATCCTTATCATTGTATTTGAATGAAATTTATGTCATCCAAATTGTCTAGATCTAACCAAGTTTCAGTTATTCCCATTATATCAAAATACTTCATTTTGGTCAGTGCTCTAAAGTCATCTATTTTATATCTTATACTTCTAACATTACAATAATAACAATTTAACCTACCCATAACACTACTTCTGTACTTTGTTCCTACATTAAATTTTTCTCTTCATCTTATTTTTTCTGCATTGAATTTGTCCTGACTTTCGCAACTATATAGTCCTAGTTTAAAGCTGTCCTTACATTTGAGTTAATATCCCTTGCAAACAAGCCAGCCCCCTACCCTATTTAAATGTAAACCATCCATTCAAAAAAGCTCCCTTTTCCCATTGATGTGATCCCACAAATCTATTTTGCTTGTCCTTATTAATTTAGGCTCAGCATTCAATTATAGTGACCTACTTATAATTTCATCCCCACAATTAGGTCTTGGCTGTAGCCCAAACACAATTAAGTTATGGTCCTTTACTTAACCTTTATTAACCCCCTGTATTTATCAATTAGCTCTTCTGACCTATACATCATTAACTTCTTTACAAATCAGAACCTACTTCACTACTAGCACCCTTTACAATATCACTTGCTCTGTCACTGAGTGTCAGTTATACCCTCCAGTCCTGCACCTGAATAGCATAATCTAATTCTTTTTTCCCTATATACTGCACTTATAATCCTTAATTGTTCTTATCCTCACCTTACTCTGTTCTATTTGTTTTCCTTTTGCTCTCAAAGTTCCTCATATGTACAAGTTAAAGGCTGAAATCTGTTACTTAATAGAATCTGCTCATTAAAATTAAATCTTCTACATCTAGTCCTGACAGTACTGTTTCTAACTTCCTGAAACTGAAAGTTATTATTAGCCACTGTATCCTTTACATTACATGTAAAAGCATATGTTCCTCTTGAAATCCTGCTATCATTTTTCACAGTTTAAGCTTCCTCCAATTGTTCCTTCAATCTGCAAACTACAATTAGCAAACAACTGCACATCTTCACTATTATTACTAGTAGTACTACCAATAAGTCTCCTACTCCTAGTCCTAGCAGGCTGTATCACTATCAGTGTATGTCGAGAACTCATACTATTACTAATGCAGCTAGTAAAAATAACAGTAATAATAATAAAAATAACATAGAAAAAAAGAGAGTATAAAATGACATGTGTAACTTTGCACAAAGTAGACCTTTCAGCTCAGCATTTCGTATATCAAGTTCAAGAACATAACAGTTACTTCCAAGTCCAAGCACCACATATACTACGAAGTAAACAGGGGATGCTCCGGTGCTGGGATTAGCCTTTTAATTTAAACGTTGATTATATAATTACAGTTAGAGAACTATCTAAAACATTTGAAGTATGGATGTATTTCCAAACATACAGCATAAGACATATTATAAAATAATATGTGAATTTAAAATATATTTTCTTACTTTCTAAACTTACAGGTTACAGTAAACAGCGTGTTACCTTTGGTGTTGACTCATAACGTCCAGCGTCCTCTGTTTATTGAACAAGGAAACTAACATCTTTTATGGAGGAAAAACATGTATTAAGAGCGCTTTTAAATCCTATTTACAAACAAAACCAATAATGTACTACGTACAATATATCTGTATAAAATGGATATTAATATAGCACTATATAAAACATACGTAACAACTTTGTTATTACGTATATTTTATATAGTGCTTTATTTTGCAACGAGAAAATAAAAGGAGTTAAAAGTTGTGGATAATAAAGTTATTTTAGTTACAATGTAGAAGAAAGATTAACAGTCTGAAAGGTGATGAAAATCCAAAGAGGTAAAGAGAATGGTGTTTGAAAATTTTAAAACATATCTGGAGTCATTACTTGATAAACAATTCATAGTTTCCTTTTCTAAGTCTTAAGTATTTGAACAGGTTTTATTTGTTGCTAAGCGCAAAGTTGCATAATGGGATATTTGTGCTGTGCCCACCGCCGATATATAAATTTGATATTTAGAGTTATAAGTCCTCAGACTTACCGAAGAACTATTGGGAGGTATTTTCTAAACTGAAAGGATTCTTACAGAACCGACTGGGTATCATTTTAATGTATAGCCTACAATAATGCATAACATTTTATTAGATTAAATGTCCAAAATATATACTCTTCTGACAGACAGAATTGCCTCTGGGAAATAAAAAACAAACTAGGCTTACAAAGTTTGTGTACATTATTTGATGAAATGAAGCAAACAGAGAAGTTATTATAATAGCAAAAGTGAAGGTTCATATTAATCATCGCCGTCACACCAAACATGCTCGCTCTTTCAGCCGTGGCGGCGTTATAATGTGACGGTCAATCCCACTATTCGTTGGTAAAAGAATAGTCCAAGTGTTGGCGGTGGGTGGTGATGACTAACTGCCTTCCCTCTAGTCTTACACTGTTAAATTAGGGACGGCTAGCGCAGATAGCCCTCGTGTAGCTTTGCGCGAAATCAATAACAAACAAACAAACATATTAATCAAAATACATAACTTTGAATAAGTGTGACTCGACAAGAATTAAAAGTACACCACAAACATTTTTGGAAACACTCTGAATTCCTCTTATCTGTGTACTCAATATAGTCCATGTTTTCGTGTTTTGATAGGTTGGAATTGGACTTTTTCCTCACAGATTTAGCTCATTAGCTAGCTGATTACTTCTACAATAGGTCCATCTCTGAGACACCAGTAATTAAAAACAAACTTGGAAACAATGACCTCCACTGTGTAAGAATCGAAACCAATAACAAGATAAAATCACACTTCTCCATTTGCTTTGTGTTTATTTCTGCTAGTAAAAATAAGGTCAGTATATTAATTGGATGAATATCTAGCAGACATTTTTCTTTACATCCATTATCTTTACAGCTACATGTCAAATCATATACTGTCTTGGTTGGACTGAGATGGCTACCTCATTTTTGAACAAAAGGCAAGCTGTTGAGCCCATTCAAGTTGGTGGTAAGATCCAACCCAAGTCCAACTAGTTGAATTATACAGATCAATAGAAGCCACATCATGTATTAACTGTCCCGCTGTTGCGTGGTAGTGGACAAAAAAAAAAAGACACTGAATGGCAGGATATAGACAGTTATGTGATTTTAAACTTTGTTATATAAACTTGAAAGTTGTATTCATTGTTAAAATAAATAAATAAAGCACGGCCTACTATTCCAGAAAACATGTTGTTACGACAGCGGAAGTCACGTGACGCTGTTTTCTCAGAAAGTGGGTGAAAACGAACATGTGGTGGCCTACTTCAGTAGGGTCCTGAGTAGACCAGAGAGGAACTACTGTGTAACACGAAGGGAACTCCTTACTATAGTAAAGAGTCTGTCATATTTCCATCCTTACCTCTATGGGGCTAGGTTTACCATCAGGACAAACCATGCTGCGTTACGCTGTTAACATCATTAAAGAACCCAGAGGGACAACTGGCACGTTGGATCGGAAAATTAGACCAGTATAATTATGATATTGAATATAGAGAAGGAAAATCTCATGTAAATGCCGGCGGACTAAGCCGAAGATCCTGCAAAAATGACTGCAGTCATTGCTGCAAAAGAGAGGTTGAACTAACCAGGTGCCATCAAGCTGAAGTCAAAGTGACTGAAGAAGTTGATGGTGAACTGAAACCAAGTAGAGATATTAAAGCAGAACAGGAGAAAGACTAAGATTTGAAGCAATAATTAATTTTCTACAAGCAAATGTTTTGCAGCCTGCTTGGGAGAAGGTGTCTAGCTTAAGTCCTGTGACAAAGAACTATTGGGCACAATGGGACCAGATGAAGCTTGAAAATGGTATTCTTGTCCGGAGATGGGAAACTGCAGATGGGAAAATGACGACCTGGCAAATGGTTATACCGAGAACGTTACGAGAAGTTGTGCTGCGTCAATCCCATGATACTTTAACGAGAGGTCATCTCGGAATTAAGAAGACATTGAGTTACCTACGGCAAAGATTTGACTGGATAGGCATGAGGCAAGATGTGGAAGAATGGTGCAGGACCTGCAGTACATGTTTGCTAAAAGGGGACCCAAGTATAAGGGACGTGCTCCAATGATGTTATATCAAGTTGGTGCACCAATGGAAAGAGTAGCCATTGACATTGCTGGTCCTTTGCCCCAAACTCATGCTGGAAACCAGTATATTTGTGTGGTGATGGATTATTTCACCAAGTGGCCTGAGGCATATGCAATACCAAATCAGGAAGCTACAACTTTATCTTTTGCTATCAGTGATTTTTTTCTTCAGGTTTGATATGCCATACGAACTGCATTCAGATCAAGGCCACTTTATCTTATTATTGATTTATTATTCTACCTTCGTCCTCAGACCAGTTCCTCTTCCTTAGGACACTTTCAGATAGGGAAGTGGATAAATTATTTTCACCAAAATGCATCTGATCACTATTTCTCACTTTTATGGCCGAATTTCGATCGTTTGTTATGTCTAATAAGGGTCTTCAAGGTTTAGTTTCCCACACTAATGCCTTTTGTGATGTTAGACAAAGACTGTTTATTCATTGGAATCATTCAGTTTTCCGGGATTTTCCCCTGACTACATTGACGAGGTGAGTATAAAATTGATCCATATCACTTATTCTAGGCTCTCTTTGAAGGCAAAGAGCCTTCTGCGAGTGACATCTTATCAAATTTGTCACATTTCTATATTCTTAGCAGCCCAGTTGACTTACCTGCTGGAGGACATTATGCAAACTGGTATGTGGACCTCCCCAATACTTTTATCTCACATTATTTACGTGATCTAGCAGTATCTTCATCTGAGGGTTTGACTACCCTATGTAGCTGTCTTAATAACTTCTGCTAGATTATACAGAGGAGTGAGTATTTTAATTGATATGTTTTTTTCTCTACTTTAACTTTCAGGGTCCCTTACCTCGTTTTCACAGGATCCCACTCTATGATGACTGTTGCCCAAGCTGGTGTGCTTTGATCAAACCAATTCCATGCTAGCAACCACTAATTCAGAATACTTTTTCTAGGTTACAACAGGTTCTGTAGAAATGAGGTGTTCCTAGAGGCTGACTGGGTGGTATTACTTTATTATGTTGGACCGCCACTCATGGACTATCATAAGTAAAGCATAAGAGGATCTTGCCCGTCCCTGCTGATCAATGGATTGAATAAGTCGGGGTCAGTTTGCTTTTAAAAATTGAGGGAACTTGGTTCACCTATTGCACTATTTCAGAAAAATGTTCCTCAGAACTCTCCAATATGCATTATTCCCCGGATTCTACTAATGGAACTAAGGAGTCCTTACCACACTCAGTTTCCAGTCACTGGGGTGGTAGATAGAGGATTTCCTCTAGGGTGTTAGAATGAATTTCTTCAACTCTTGGAGAAGATGGCGAAGTTAGGGGCCCTACTGCCTGGGTCCCTGTATGTTTGTCAGTAGGAGAGGCACCAGCCTACTCGGGGCCTACTCGTAATACTGGTTCGTATGTGGTGCCCAGTAATCCGGTTGGGTTGAGCATGGCCCTTCTTTTTTTTATCAATATTAGTTCATACATTGCGCATGGAAAAGGGTCCATTGTCTCCTCGTAATTCAGAGTGGTCCCATCCTGGGTATTTGGTTGAGCACAGTTTGTTCCACGTCTTCCCCTTACTTCCAGGGGCAAGAGGAATTTACCTTGCCCATGTGGTTAGGGAGGGAAGATGGATGTTAGGTGTTAGGCCATGTCATAGAGATATTATAATTTTGGGGATTTATCGTTATATTATTATAATTTGTTAAATTTTAATTTACAAACAAATAAACAATACAGACTGTTAAAAGCTTAATAAATAAACACAGGGCCTATCAATACAAATTATTAATCTATATAAACAAAGAATATAAATCTAATGTTTAAGTAAATCAAACTTTTTGAAGAACTCAGTCAATAAAATAAATAACCAAAAATATATTTCAATTATTATTAAGTGAACGAAAACATATAAAAGGGTAAAATATTAATATCAAACAACAATATTTACAGTTTGTAAATGTTATACAGTACTGATAATACTCATGGAAATACACAGGTCACATACACAAAGTAGTTACAACAATGAGTAACTGCAACTTTATTATGTTACCATAAGCTTATTCACGTGTGATTAAAACATATTGTTCCAAGTATCCTATTTACTCCCCACAGCTCATATAGCATTAATAATGTTCATATCTGGCTTTGTGTAGGCCAAGTTATGGTTGTGAGTGTTCAATCAGCCTTTTTTTTTTTCATACGTACATATATTTATACACTACATTTGCTACATACTTGGAAACACTGTCTTGCTGGCGAATCCAAGCCCAACGGGCCATGTTCCTAAAAATCTGGTTATACTTGTCAGCAGTCAGTGTGTGATAGATTTTGTGTAAGTATCCAACATCATTAACTGAGATACATGCCACACTCGTCTCTGTTCCTCACCATGATTCTTTATACACGTTGTACTTTGAT